AACAGCCCAGTCAGTCCGAGGCGGTGCCTCTGAAAATGGGAGACTATGTATAAAAATAGGTGTAATTCCTGTACATCAATCACATATTGAATATTTTATTTAAAATCCACTGTGGCGGTGTACAGATGAGAAATTTAAAAAAAACATGTAGTTTCCCAACACATGTATGACCTGCAGAGTCTCTGTTTTTATCAGAACAGTGAGTCTGCAATCAACCGTTTTGTAAGCTGGCTTCCACCTACCTCTTGCAGTAACACAATATCATGCTGTTCCTTATACAACATTTCACCAATCATGGCATAGCGCTGTGGACAGTATTTGCTTAGATATCGGATCCCCCTGCAAAAATAAAGCGCATGGAGCATGACTTACTTTTTAATGGGTGTCTCACAGCAATGCATTAAGAATCTCCACAAACCACAGCCACTGACCAGCAGTTCAGAGAGAAGACCCGCACTCTGACAGAGTCCATGTTAGACATGTTGGCGTATCAGTGAAGCTTCAAATCAGGAATGTCGGCTCACGTGAGGTGACTAGGATGGATCCTAAAGTGTCACATAAGAACAGTTGTTAGATACTGCCTGAGCTTCACTGCCAATGTAGTTAGCTGAACATCTGGGTGTGCTAATACACCCTATAAATACACGGGCAATAAGGAAAAAAAAAAAAATCTGGATAAGAAGGGGACATGCACATATCCAAATATCACAGAAATAAAGGTTGAAGTGACAAAAATTAAAATTAATAAAAAAAACTGCTTGGTAAGCACAAAATGTGAAAACGCAGCACACTGCAGCCTGACTGGCAGCTGACACGTTCAGCAAAATTGTTACTGACAACAGTGTAAACAGTTCATGTGAAATGCTCAACTGGCTGTGTAATATTACATATTGATAAAATGTGCAGATGTGTTTTTGCAGCTGTGTATTATTTATTTTTTTATATTGTAGATACATATTCTTTCTTCCTGCACTATCATCCATCTGTAGGCTAAAGACAAATTTATAATATAGGACAAAACACATGATTAAAAGCTGACCTAGGCAGAACTTACTATGTCACATGTTAGGCAAATTTTGCAGTTTTTTTTTCCTTTTTCTTTTTAAAGGAG